CTAGTTAACACTAACCAGGTGTTGGCTGTCTGTTCTCTAGTTAACACTAACCAGGGGTTGGCTGTCTGTTCTCTAGTTAACACTAACCAGGGGTTGGCTGTCTGTTCTCTAGTTAACACTAACCAGGTGTTGGCTGTCTGTTTTCTAGTTAACACTAACCAGGGGTTGGCTGTCTGTTCTCTAGTTAACACTAACCATGAGGTTGCTGTCTGTTCTCTAGTTAACACTAACCTAGAAACCCAACCCAACCTGCTGCCATCAGATCACTCCCAGCTCTGGTAGACCCTGTATGGGTAGGACGGGGGTCTAGGCGGCTCTTAGAAAGGTTACAAGGAAAGCAAAGACTTTGTCTAGAGGTTAGCGGCCCGTGCTTGGCTCAGTGCCTGGGACAGACACCGCGGTGGGCCCTCAGTAAATGTTCCCTGAGAACTGTTGTTGTTGTTGTTATGTGCCGAGAGTCAGTTCCAACTCATAGCGATCCTGCACAGGGTTTCCGAGGCTGTAAGTATTTACGGGAGCAGAAAGCCTCCTCTTTCTCTCGCGGAACAGCTGGTAGTTTCGCACTGCTGCCCCCTGAGGTGAGCAGCCCAGTTTATAACCACTACGCTACCAGAGCTCTCTGTTAATTATTAAGTGCTGTCGAGTCGGTTCTGATTTGTAGTAATCCTGGATAGGGTTTCCAGGGATAGCTGATGGGTTTGAAGCACCAACCTTGCATTTAGCATTTATCTTGTAGCACCACACCAGGATCCAGCCCCTCTCTCCCACTAACCCTAACCCTTGCCCATTTTACAGACTGTTTACTAACAGAACATCCAAAAGATTTCTATATTTTACTTCTTTGTAAGATTTTTTACAAGCTAACTGCCTTTACCCACCTTGAAGGATGACCTCTCTGGGGACAGAGGAGAACAACAGCCCCTAGGAGGGGCTGGAACCAGAGTTCTGTCTGCCTTTCCCAGAGGCCTTTGCAGTAGAATTCATCTGAAGTATTACGCACACAGTACCCAATTAGCATGGTGGTGGTGGTGGTTATGTGCTGTGGAGTCAGTTCCGACTTACAACAACCCTATGTAGGGTATCCAAGGCTGTAAATCTTTATGGGAGCAGAAAGCCTCCTCTTTCTCCTATGGAACTTCTGGTAGTTTCGAACTGCTGAACTTGAGATTAGCAGCCCGATTCTTCCCAGAAATTCCCTCCTATCCTTAATAAATAAACATGATGCCTTCTTCCCACCTAAAACTTTTAAGTATTACATTAAGCCCTCCCCGTTGGCTCCTTTGGAAACTGCCTCTCCTGACTCCTCTCGATCAGCAGAGCCCTGTCATGTAGGGTGGAGTTACAGTCAGTACTTCCAGTAGCAGAGTCCGGTAACGGTAACCATGAACACAGGGACTCCTTAGCCCTGGATCTGAGACCACCCAAGAGGGGATTGCCTAAGCCTGAGGACAAATGGATAAAGCAGCTGCTAGAATTGAGTTCTGCCTATGTCCCTCTGTCCGGAAAGGTGTTGTGTCCTCACTTGTATTCTGGTCCGTGTTTCAGTTTCTACGTGGGCACACTAATCGTTTTCCTCCTTTCTCATTATTGTACACCGGGAACTTGGAATCAGGCAGGCTCAGTAGACAGACATCTGAGTGTCCGCTCAAAGGTCTGTGTGCCCCCAAGGAGTGTGGGAACCTCAGATTGAAATACCTATGACAGGCCACCTAGGAATCCTGTTCACGGCCCCAGGGAGTGGGAGAACTCTGCTTCAGGGTCTCCACTAAAGGTCGTTGGACCCCAAGGAGCGAGAGATCCTGTGATGGTGTGGGAATGTGTTGGAACTGGAGATCGTCTACGGCACCGCAGCCTGTCCTGTCACCTTTTGTTCCCTGGCGGGGAGCTCAACCCTCACACTGACTTTTTACCTGGTAATGTCTTTTTTTGAAGTCCTTGCTATTTACATAAGATTTGTGTCTGTCTATGGAGCCCCTTCTTCCTGTTGCCCAGTGAATAAGGAAGACCGTAGAAGAATTGATGCTTTAGAGTTATGGTGTTGGAGGAGAATATTGAAAGTGCCATGGG